CTTCTTTTGGTCGTAGATTCTCACCATCTCACCTTGCTTCAGTGGTGGCAACGGTTTGGCTTCTCTGTCATGATAAGCCTTCTGGATTTCTTTTTTCTTTGTTTTCCATGCAACAACTGCTTTGGAATCTTTAACATTGAGCTGGTTTTCTACAACTGGAAGATCTGTTTTAAGTGTTCTTCCCATCAGTAACTCAGCTGGTGACTTATGGTTGTCAAGTGGTGTTGATCTATATGCTAACAGTCCGAGATACGGGTCTGTTCCGCTTTCAACTGATTTGCTTATAATATTCTTTATTGTCTGGACAGCCTTCTCGACTAACCCATTAGAGGATGGGAAATGAGGACTACTGGTAACATGTTTAAATCCCCATTTGGTCTTGAAATCAGCAAACTCTTGACTACTGTAACATGGTCCATTGTCACTATGAACAATATCAGGAATGCCATGTCTGGCGAAAGTTACTTTCATACCTTTGATCACAGCTTTACTGCTTTGGCTTGATAGAGGTATCACTTCCGGATAGCTGGAATATGCATCCACAATGACAAGATATTCTTTTTTGTTGATTTCACAGAGATCTGTGCCGACCACTTGCCAGGGACGGGTTGGAACTGGATATGGCTTTAATGGTTCTTTCTGGTGGTTATGCTGGTGATGTTGGCATGTCTCGCAACTCTCAACTATGTTATCAATGTCACTGTTGATTCCAGGCCAGAATACTACTTGTCTGGCACGTTGCTTGCATTTCTCTCTGCCCTGATGACCAGCATGAATTTTTATTAGGATTTCTTTTCTCATCTTTGTTGGAATTACAATCTTTGAACCTTTTAGTATCAGCCCTTGGTGTACCGATAATTCATCTCTAATGTTCCAATAAGCATGAAGTTCGTTAGAAGTATTGGATCTTTCATTGGGCCAACCTTGCATGATAGTATTTTGAAGTGATATCATTGTTTTGTCCTTTTGGGTTTCCTCTTTAATCTCTTTTAGTTTCTCATCTGTAACTTGTAGCACTGCTATGATTCCATCAACATGAGCTTCAATATGGTGGTCTGACTTACTTGCCAGCTTCATGGGTGCTCTTGGATAATGCATCTGGTGTATGCATCCACTTACCAGGAACGTACGAAAGTTTGAAATCATATTTCTGTAATCGTAATCTCAACCGCTGTATTCGTGGCGGGCTATCAATTGGTGATTTTTTGAAAATTGACACTAATGGTTTGTGGTCTGTCTCTATTTCGAATTCTTGACCGTATATGTACTGGTGGAATCTTTCACAAGAAAATGTCATGCCTAGTGTCTTAAGTTCAATTGTTGCATATCTGCTCTCACAATCTGTAACTGACCTCGATGCATATGCTACTGGAAGCCAATTTTCACCATGTAGCTGCTGCAGTACTGCTCCTAAGCCACTCCTACTTGCATCGGTTGAAATCTTTATGGGCTTGTTTGGATCGTAGAACTTTAACACAGGTTCGCTTGAAAAAAGTTCCTTCAATTCTTTCCATGCTTTCTCTTGCTCATTGTTCCACATCCACAACACCTTCTGGTCTAACAACTTTCTTAATGGCATTGTTCTAGTGGATAAATCTGGTATGTATCTAGCAAGATAATTAATCATACCTAGGAATCTCTGGAGGTCTGTTTTGTTTCCAGGTCTTTCCATGTTCTGGATTGCCTCAACTTTTCTCTGATCAGGTTTCAATCCCTCAGCCGAAATTGTGTCCCCCAGGTAAGTCAACTGTTGTACACCCACTTCGCATTTTGCTTTTTGAAGTTTCAGTCCAACTTCTTTCACAACTTTCATTGTTGCTTCCAACCTTTGATCATGTTCTTGTGGGGTTGATCCATAAATGATGATGTCATCCATAGAAGTATCTACGCCTTCTAAGTGACTAAACAAAGAATTAATGGTTCTATGATAAATCTCTGGGCACTGGAGATTCCAAATGGGAGTCGTAAGTATTTGTATCTCCCAAAAGGGGTATTAAAAGTACATAAATTAGTACTTTCGTCTTCAAGCTTCATTTGCCAAAACCCATTTGAGGCATCTAGTTTAGTAAATACCTTGGCATTTGCAAATTGAGCTGTAACTTCGTCTCGTGTAGGTAACTTGAAATGTTCACGTTTTATTGATTTGTTCAAGTTTCTTGGGTCTAAGCAAACACGTAAGTTTCCATTTGGCTTAGTAACTGGCACAAATGAGTTAACCCACTCAGTCGGTTCTTCGATCTTTTCAATCACGCCCATAGGTTCCATTCGTTGTAGTTCGTCTTTGAGCTTATCATACCGCGCGAAGGGTATTTTGCGACAAGGCTCAACAACTGGTGTTGCATCATCTCTTAACTCGATTTTTACAGTATGAGGTAAACAGCCTAGTCCTTCGAAACAGTCAGCATATTTCTCACTTAGTTTTGCATTGTTATACCTGCTGCCCGTTAAATTATTCGAACTGTTCGACTGCTCAATAGAAAATGTTCTTTTCACAAGATTTAACTTTTCAGAAAGTTCCCTTCCCAAAATAGGTTTAACATCATCAGGGCTGATTAAAAACAGCGCTTTCACCGATTTCTCTTTCAACTTTAAGGATAAAATACACTGACCTTGCACTTGAACATCTCCCCCGTTGTATGCTTTCAGTTTAGTCTTCGATTGTTTCAACTTCGGTCTGTTCTGAAGTGTCTTAAACTCGTTATAACTCATTACATTGACATCCGAGCCAGTGTCTACTTTAAAAGTAACTATACTGTTGTTTACTTCCAATGGAAGTATCCATGGATCTGACTTGTCAGCGGTCGTTTCCGTCGAATAAACATAGAATTCATGTTCGTCACTAGACTCACTACTTGGTTCAGCGTCCCTCTCTTGTTTACCGTTGTTCTCTACCGCATCGACTCGATGTTTTCTTGGATATTTTGGCAATTCTTTGTCTCGGGTTCTACATTGACTCATAAAATGATTTTTCTTGTGACAATTTCTACATTCTTTTCCCACAGCTGAGCATTTATCATAACTATGGTTTCCCTGACCACATCTGCTGCAATTTAATCTGTTGTTATAAAATTTTTGATCTTTACCGCCGTTGCCCGTTAATCCTGAATGCGTTTCTCTTCGATAATTCCTTCCTCGACTATAAACTGCATCAATTTCTTCCGATTTACGTGACGTATCTGTTAAGGTTTTCATATGCTTGTCGGCAACTTCTGCTGCTTTACACACGTCCATACACCTTTCTAGCGATAAATCTTTTTCTCGAAGAAGCCGTGCTCGAGTTCTGTCATTGCTGATTCCTTCGACAATCCTGTCTTTAACGATCGAGTTTGTAAGTTCTCCATACTCACAGTTCTTTGCTAATCGTTTCAGTTCCGTCACAAACTGCTCTATACCGATTCGTCAGGCTTTTGTTTCCTCAAGTTAAACACATGCCTTTCGTGCGTGACATTTTTTTTTGGAAGACAATATGCTTCAAATTTCGCTACTAACGGCTCGATTTTATCTTTTTCTATATCTTCAAACGTGAGTGTTTCGTAAACTGTAATCGCTGCTTCGCCAGCCAAGGTCAAAAACGTTGCACACTGTATTTTCTGCGACTTTTTGTCTTTCTCAGTAGCGGTCATGTATAGCTCGAAGGCTTTCTTCCCACGCCGCCAATTTTCAGCTGCATTTCCATCGAGTTTCAACGGTTTTGGGGCTGGGATTTGTTCTGCCATTTCGTGTTCTTGTATCTTTGATTAAAATCCCTTTTCTGACACCATGTAACGTTATATATTTTATTTATCTTATGCCGTATAAACTACATTTAACTTTACTTGATAACTCAACTATACTCAGTCCTTGTTCAACGTTCCTTCGACGTCCCATGTGCTCGCATGCATGAGTCACGTGATATCCTTACAATTGTAACATGTGGTCATTCTGGCAAAACCCAAGGCTCATGCACATTTTGCTGTTCTTCATTTCCGAATGGAAATTTCTACTATATATATAGCTTTTTATAAATGATTGTACCGATGATAATCAGGGCCAAAATAATTTAATGGTTCGTAACCGTTTGTCAAAATAATTTGCCAATTTATATATTAATCACCCACAAATGAACTCGGCAGCCATTAAATGTATTTTTATCTTTTGTCAAAGATAAGAGTTTAAAATGAGAGGTTAAAGTTTGAGAAAAACTATAGTATAAATTACAGTATTATATGAATTTATCACTACTGTGCGGGCCAAATGGAAGTCTACGAATCCAGCATGGGAAATGAAATATGGGTTTGTAGACTACCAAATGAGTTCTTTCATTAGACCATTATAAATATACATCATGGTCTACAGAACAAATTTGCCTCCACAGTGCTGATAATTTCAGTGTTCTTTAACTTTAATGGACTAATAAAGACATCACAAAATTTTGACAGTAACTGCTTTTAAAACCACAAATTTATGAATATGCAACTTGTGGTAGCAGCGCTGCCCAGAGGGGGGGGGGGCAAGGTGGTAATGGTGCCCCAGTCCCCTAGTTAAATGGAGCCTGAAAATTTGCAAAGGGGGGGGGACCCGGAAAATGTAATTAAAAAAATTAATTTGGAACGTTTTTTATATAAGTCATGGTATAAGAGAAATCTTTTAGACCTGAATTTTGCTGGTATTTGTCTGGAAAATTTTTTTGAACCTACCTTTTTATGGATATGTCTGAGAATATTTTTTTACTCCCCCTAAATAGGGTCCCTGAATTAAAAATTTGGCCCGGGCCCCCGAATTTCTCTGTGCGGCCCTGAGTGCTAGAATATGGTTAATTTATACACTACTCAAAATTCTAACAGTAACTGCTTTTAAAACTACATGAAATTTATGAATATGCAAATGTCAAATGCTATATATTGTTACTTAATTGTATTATAATACCAGTTCAACGTCTGTCACTCTTGCCCTAAGATACAAATGCTATATATATTGATACTTAATTGTATTGCGATGCAGTTCATCATGTGTTACTCTTTGCCTATATATAAATGCTATATACATATTGTTACTTAGTTGTATAACCTCACTGTAAATTTCCAAATGAATCAACTGGAAAAGTGGTCACCACCAAAAACGGTGACGGAATAACTTTTTTGGAGTTGATTCAATTCTTTGAAATTTCCAGTGTAAACGTGTACGTGCTTTGGTCGCTAAGGTTAGTTTTGGGGTTCCAAGTAATAGCATCAAGTTCTTTATTTTGATCAGATCTCGTACGAGTCCTGCTTTCTGTTGAATAAGGGACTAGTTCAGATTAGAGTAGGCTTATCGAGTTCATGGTTAGCTTATTGAACAGTATGTTTTCCTTTCTTTGAGCATGTTCCTGTCAATGATGCTTCATCGGTTCTTAACCAAGATTCATGTCCCTCACGCTTAGCCATATCAATGGCGGAAATCCCAGACGAATCTTTTAGATAAATATCTACGTTGTGCTGAATAAGGATTTGAACAACACGTTGTTTTCGAGCAAGCCTTGCTTCAGTGTCATATTCGGATTTAATTGCATAATGAAGCGCAGTACGTCCATAAAAATCCTGTTGATTCACTTCAGCTCTGTGTTCCATGAGTAACGACACCACATGTTCCACTGCAGTTGAATCCCCGCTACGATCACGTAGGTTCTTACACGTTAGCATTAGGGCAGTTAACCCAGCACATCCTCTGTTGCTTGGGGTTGCTCCATGTTTTAAACACTTTTCTACCCTTTGTAGCTTTCGATCCACGGGAAACTGAAAGTATCCTGGTAAAAGCGAGTGCCAGGCATACTTGAACTCCACATAAATCATTCCATCTCTCAGAAGGCGTTCAATTTCTGAATAAGAATAAAGCATAATTATTATATATATATATATATATATATATATATATATATATATATATATATATATATATATATATATATATATATATATATATATATATATATATATATATATATATATGTATATATATATATATGTATACGGCCAACTATAGTGAAACTACATACTGTACCTTGCAAAGAGTACACATTAACACTATCAGAGAGGTGTCTGTATGAGCGAGGTATCTCTATTAGGGAGGTATTCATATTAGAGAGCTATGCGTATTGGGAATGTAGGCTACGTCCACACTATTAGACTAATCCGTTTTCGAATCCCTTCGTTTTTGATATTTCGAAAACGTATACAAATATCTGCGTCCACAGTAGCGCTTTTGGATCATTTTTTTCACCACACTAGCACTTAGAAAACGATAATGTTTTATTATTTTCGATCTTCATTCATTTTACCGTTATTCATGCAAAAATCTTACAAGAATGCCCGGAACATTTTTACGGAGAAAGAGACAAATTCGTCGAGGTTGGACCTAAAAACATCGCCGGTAATAGAGCTTCTCTAGTGGCTTTACAATCTCACAAATAAATTAACTCATAACCTAGGACATAGTGTATAGCGCATTATGTTGTCTTTGCGAGTTATGCTTGCAGATTAATCATCCTTTTATCCAGTCAAGTCAGAAACAACACACCACGCATGATTGTGTTCATGCCGTCCGCGTTTTTGAAAACCTTCGTTTTCACCCGTCTACACTACGCCCGCGTTGTCTCCACGTACTTTCAAAGCCGTTTCCGAAAAGCTCCGTTTTCATTGATGAAGGCATCCGTTTTCCATCGTATCAGTGTGGAAGATCGGCGAAAACGCGTGCAAAAGTATACGTTTTCAAACGAAAACGGATTAATGTGGACGGCGGTACATTGCAAAGGTGTCCGCATTATTAGAAAGGCGTTGATATTAAAGAGGTGCCCGTTTAGAAAGGCGTACGCAGCAGAGAATTGTCTGCATCATGCATGGCTCGATTCTTCCTGTTACCCTCCCCCCGGGGATTTATGTATTCTTTATTCCTAAACTGTCAATTCTCCACCTCTGGGCAAATAAAGAAAAGCCAATTCCCCTCCCATGCGCAATATTGTACACGAACACGTTATCAAAATTTCACGAATGTCGACATTTGAAAGGCATTCACTAAGTGATAGAATGTGTTCACTAGGGTTATCAAAGCGATGTTAGTACAGTGTTAAACGAAGCATTTTTTCTTCCAATTTCCAACGCAATCTGTGATCTACAGGAATGTTTAAATATGCAAGAAAAAACAGTTGGAGTGAAAGTGGGCCCATGTTTTGCATTTTTCTACGAGTCCCAAAGCCCCTCGCCTGTGAACATGTGTATTCCTAACCCCTACCCCCACGGGACACCTGGACCAGATGCTCAACAAAATTCCGTCGGTGTACATTTGGGGGGATGGTAACAGGAAGAATTGAACCATCCATTACAGAGATGTACGTAATACGCCGTATTCTGTGATTTGGTTTCAATTAATTCTGTCTCCCACCCCTTCGGGCTAACTTTAAATCTGCATGAATCTATAGATTTTTGTATGCTGAGTATGAATTAACTTGTTGTCACTCGTAAAAACCTGAAGTTTCTTTGTATACTTTACGATGAAAGATCAACATTTTGTATTAACATTATTGCACCAATTCAAGTCTCTTATCACGCGGTTATATGCATGAGTAAATCGTCAATAATTAGCCTTTCTCACAACAACGAATATCCGCCATTTTTGGGTGGCATCTAATTCTCGGTAACCAATGCAGACAATTAAAACAATGTGAAAAGCAATTTTTCAGAATAAGCTAACCATTTACTGTACAAAGCAAATTTAACATCATTCGTTAAAAAATTAGAAAAAGTCGCTGTAATGTGGTTTTATCTCGCAGAGCGGTGGCGTGAGATATATTGCATCAGCTTTTGGGTTTATTGTTGAATTATATATGAAATTGCAAAGAGTAGATTGATAAAGATCCTTATATCGACATTTTGGGAATCTCGTTCGATACAACTAATAGTGAATGGTTTTTTAGATTGAATTTTCGAACCTAAATTTCTATACACTTTTTTAGACCTAACAACCAGGAGCAGTTGCAAAAAATACAATTTTAGGATCTCAATGTTTAGCAACTGGTCTCTGTTGCACAGCGCGTTAGAGCATTACCACGGAATCGCAGCCAAAGGGCCTATTACTTCCATTTTTCGCAGCTGCTCCCGGTTAGATCTAAAAAAAGTGTATAGAAAGATTTAGCGCGAACAAATTTAAACGTATGATAGCACTTAATGCTCATAGCACTTAATGCCCCACAGGAAAAAGTTCAGATTTCATGCATGAGCTAGTTTTTGAAAGAACTGCTGCCAATGGTCAATTTGTGTTAAATAAAATACATCTGGGTCCTGAAGATCTATCGAATATCGTGCGCTCCTTGTTCGTTGTTGATAAAAAATTGAGCAACACAAGTTTAGAATCTGTAAAATTCTTGATTAAAGAATCTTTGCAATTTCATATTGAGATGAACCGCGTGATACCCCCCACCCCTCTCCCCCGCCTTCGAACTGGTACAATAACTGTGTATAACATGAAGTTTCAAAAAAAAAATATTGCTAATTTTAATAGAAAATGATGATGTTTGGTCGTAAAATACAAAGAAACTGCAGGTTTGCATGAATAAATTCGTGCCAGGCATATCAGAATCTATAAATTTATATAATTTTAAAGTAGTGCCCGAAGGGAGGCGACAAACTTCGTTTTCTAAGCAACTTTTTTGGTCACAGAACACAGCTATACGATGAGCTGTATTGCTTTCATATACAACAAATTAGGTTTTTTCCAAAGCTATTTTTAAGAATATGTTTAATCAACTTTATATTAAAGAATAATTTTTTCTCACCATGCACACCTGCAGATTTACAAGAATATTTGTAATCAATACCTGAAAGAGGTTTCTGAATGATCTCCAATGTAAATTCCGACACTTTAGCTTCTTCTGGATAAAATGGCTTCTCTTTAAGGGACTCCAAAGTGATAACATTCTCTTCTCCTGACTTCAATTTTCTAAAATACTCTTGGACATCTTCGTTCCAGCAGATGGACGAGTCAAAGCCCTTGGTGTTCTCAAAGAATTGAGGAACACATACATCCGCCGTTAATCCATTTTTTACACAAAATTCAAATATCTTATCGTGAAAGAAACTATGCACGAGGAACGAAAAGAATAACTGGGGCATTGATTCCTTTGGGACGAGCTGTAGTAGTTTGATGTCACAGTTCAAGAAATGATGGCCATACGACTAAAAATCCAGTATGCGCGGCTATCAAACAACTTGGCAGTAATTCTTGCATAACGCAACGAAAGAGCCAGCTCAAGATGTTCAGCTTTTTCCTGTATGGTCATTTTATTCAAGACATCAGTTTCATCGAGAACTTTCATTGCCATATACTCGGAACAAATGAAACGATCCCAAGCGTCACCACTATGGTGAAATGCGGCATGAAGAAGGTCGATTGCTTTAATACCTAATTCAGATATCAGAACATTCACGTTTGAACTCCCGCTCTCACTGGAATGAAAGAGATAACGCAAAGAAAAGAATTTGAGGTCTAGAAGAGCAGTAGGATATGGCAGTTTCGGACGAAAACATACATTTTCAAAAAAATCGCCGGGTGAAGGATACTTAACTTTAAGAGTTTTCAAGTTATAGTTTGCCATAATGGAGTGCCCGTTGAGTACATCGCAAAAGAAATCTGACTCTTCGTCTTGCAACCAATCTCTTACAGAACTATGGCTGAAATAATATTTACTAGAATCATCCTTTATTAAGTAGCCTGATAGAAGTTTGAGGACTTTATTGAGATCATGCATCTTAAGTTCGGGAAGCAAACCACACTTCACAACCCCTGTAACACTTTCATCGCTCTCCTCATAAGCCTGCTGTAGCTTCTGTAAGCTTTTCACCTTCAACAAAAAGAGAAGGATGGGAAGTTGCAAAATCTAACCCATATTTTATATCAATCTCTTATCCATAAAAGCGTTAGCAGATTGAATAGCAAGCACAATCTGAAGCACAGGTGCAACTTTTTTCTCAAAGAATTCTATATCCGAGAAGTGACGCCTGAAGTCCAAGCAGTAAATCTCAGATAACGAGGCAGGCAAACCAATTTCATCATGTCCATCAAAGATGTGCTCCATCACAAGTTTAGCATAAAGAAAGCAATTCTGACTAGCCCGAACTATTTTCTCTTTGCCTACCTGCTCGTCATTAGCAAAGAAAGAAGTACAATTATATTCAGTTTGAAGTTTTCTGTACTTCATGGAAACAAATTTACGAATATCTTTGCTAGACAGGGACCCAGGACCAGTCTCAAATTGGTCTAGTTTAGCAGAAGTGGAATTTAAAAAAAGGCCTGATAGAGCGGGGGCATTGTGTCTTGCAGTCAAAATGACGCGAAGCCACGAAGGAAGTGTTCCTGATAATCTGGCAAGGCAAGAAGCAATCATTGACCCTGCTTCATCCAAGCCGTCAATGACAAGAAAATGTCTGGTACTTTCATTCAATTGCTGTAATGGCGTGGTAATTAACAAATCGAACAGAGCGTTAGGATCATCTCTAAATTGATCAGTCTGTAGTTTCTCAACCAAGGCAGCATATTTGGGAAGACTCTTCGAGAGCATACTCCTGAGACTATCGACTAACGATTTCAAATCGCAGGTGCGAGGATTATCTTTTTGACAGTAATGGTATCCAGCCAATTTTTCTCCCTCGTGCCGACGGACAAACTCTTGGGCGAACGAACTTTTGCCTGTTCCAGCACCACCCCAGATAAGGAAGGCACGAGACTCCCGAGGCTTGAGGTCTTTTTCCAACCAGTTTTCAATGTCACTGAACAACCACTCACGACCGACAAATTCTTCCTTCATCCTATCAGAGACTGGATTGAACTTTAGCTCCTGCTGCGCGTCACAAATCCTTTCCTGTGACTCTGCTAAACATTTTTCTTCTAGCTTTTCCAGTCGGTTGTTGACAATTTCCAGAGCGTCGTGTAGTTCGTTATTTTTCACAAATTCATCCAAACCTTTTATCTGATCATTAATCTGCTCCAAATCCGCTCCGACTTCATCTTTCCAACAGATGATATTACTTTCCAAACTGACCATATCCTGATCAACTTGTTGTTGTAACTGAACGAACAATTCCAATTCTTTTTCTTCAATAACTGCTAGACCAGTATTGAGTAAACTACTAAGCTTTTTTATGGCGTCTTGGACATCTTTGTCGTGATGCAGTTCTGGGTCTTGAAGAAGCGAGGTTAAAGATGCAAACGCGTCGACTTTATCAGCATCACTTACATGCAGCAACGGTGCATGCGCCCAAAGATTCCTAGCACTTCTTGCCGCTGCTATTTTCGAAAGATCGACACCTGTGTTGAACATACCATTTGTCCCTCTCGGAGACCATTCTAATACATTCAACAGTCCCGATATATCAGTAGTGTTGGCGTTGAGTACATCAAGCTTTCTCGTTCCCAAGGGAGCCATGAAAATCTTAGCAATCTCCCATGAGGCACCAACGGTCAGCCATTGAGTGTTGTCACTGTTTCTCCAGGATATTTTTCTTTTATCACGTGATCGATGGACATTCTCCAAGTGAGATTTCCACGTAGGTACATTATTTGACAAGGTTGCAAGCAGTGAAGTGTGGTACTTGTCAGCAGCATTTTGAATTATGGTTTCTAAGCCGTTCCGGGTAATCTGGATTGCTCGACCAACAGTAACCCAGTTTTTATATTCTGGATCACTTAGTCTACTGTGAGCCATCACTATTTATTTTTAGCCTTGAAAAAAAAATGCATTAGTATATTAACCTCCTCCGCAGGCATCTGGAACAACATTTCTAAAGTTTCTACAATATAGCATGCTGTGCGAGCCTAACTTTTCTACTGGGTAACCAATGAGCTGTATATAGTCAAGAAATAGTGTTGCAGTGGTAAAACAGACACAGTAATTACTTTCAGCCAAAAGCGGACTAAATTTTGAGATTTCACGTTGGTCACCATAATGAATTTAAACACGCCGGAGTCTGGGATCTACCTTCACAAGACCTATTTTTTGGTCAAGTTATTACACTGACCTGTAAGGCAAATGTCTTAAATCCCCAATTCTCTAGGTTTTTTTCTGGTTTTTTTCGTCATAGAGAAATCGAGTTTGCGTTATCGCAGGCTCAGTTTCCACTGTTCCAGTTTACTATACAGATCAGTTTTCAAGATGGCGGCTATCAGTGAGTGACTAGTTTCAGTCTCAAACAAGTTCTTCATTTGTCAACGAATTTTACCGCATTTTTCTTTGGAGTTTGTATCTATCCTACTCTGCACTTTCTTGGAAGTTGAGTTGGTGTTTTTTTCGTGCAACGTCTACGGAAAAGCGATATCTGGCTTTCGAGACGGAGTAATATCGAATTTTATACGTTACAGACTTACGGAATGTAAACAAAGTTGTCTGCGTTAGCGCATGTCTCAAAAACCATGTGCATTTATGGATAACGTAACGTTTGTATTTGCGAGTAGACTTGTGTTTCATTGGGCATTACGAAAACATCTGCTGAGGATAACTTATGATCATTTGCGTATCCCACCCACTCATCTATCGATCACGCCACGCTTTCAGCCTTTCACGCTTTGCGTTAGCGGTTCACGATTTGTATTCCTTGTCTATTACACCATAGCACGTATGTCGTCATTTTCAGGCAAGTGTGAACGCTTTAGCAGGCGTTTTGTTGAACAACTGTCTCTCTGTAGCTCAGTTGG